GCTCACCTCCTGGATGGCCATGATCTTACCAGCCAGGTCCGCGCACAGCGTGGGCCGAGGCGAGGTGGGGCAGGGACCCGGCAGGATGCTGGAGAACCTCGTTTATTGCTAACCAAGGGTTATATCTCTTTAGCGGTGCATGATTGCTGGTAACAGTACAATAGGCATACACATCACAGGAAGGGGATGTACAATGATAGGAAGGGGATGAGCTAGAGGTATACATGTGACAAGATGGGCAGACCCTAGATTATGATGGTGGCCTAACCTTGGCCACCCTAGGGTGGACTTGACCTCTCTGGGGTCTACTACAAGGAAACATCCAACTACTATCCTTATCAGAAGGCAGTGGGTCCTACTTGTTATGGGATAAACAGTGGTGATTGCTTGCTCTAGATGGCTGATAGCGCTTAGGGAGAATAACCCCTGATCTACTTCTGATGACCTCCAAGTTTATAGTCACTTGCAAGCAGCTAAGTTTGGCATATATTTGGGGGAGACAACTTGGGAGAAATCCTTCTGTTTCCCACAATCGAGTGGTTGCCTGTCGGGCTGCTCACCTCGAGGCTGCTCACCTCAAAACCATTGCTGTTCTTCAGGAGAAAGATGAAGCTTTCTCTTCCCGTAAAGAGTTACCTTGCCCTCTAGGGTCACTATGGAGTCAGCAGCATCAACTCTACGGCGGTGAGTTTATAATCCAGGATTCATAGCCGCACAGCTGCTTAGGTAAGTCATGGAACACACAAAAAAACTGTCAAAATCAATGATTGGTGGCAGATCAATCAATAGATTACATTACAGGTAGGACTAGACTACAGAAATGAGGGGACACGAACATTGTGTTAGAAGAGTTTACAAGATTGGTCCAGGATCTTCCAACCAAGGCAGTCAGGGCCTGATTGATGGGGCACAACTGGACTATGCAGACACCGCCCTCCAGTACTGTCCATCAAGGACACACCCAGGCAAGCCCTTAAGGGAGATTGCCTGTCCCAGGGCAGGCTAGGAGGGGTGGAAGGAATCCATTTTCTGACGCACTCTGCCTGAAGGCAAGACTGTTCTCATCTATTCATTAGTCAGAAGGAATTCAATGGAGGCTTCATCCACATGGGACTCTACAAGTGGGTTTGGGTTTTCATCGTCATCCCTAGCCCTCTGCAAAGAGGGGCTCAGAATCTAAGTTCTAATATACCACTCATGGCAACCCCATGTCCATCCGAGTAGAACTGATCTCCATACGGGTTTTTATTTGTTGGTCATTGATTTGGGGGCTCTTACATCTCTCATAACAATCCATACATCAATTGTATCAAGCATATTTGTACATTGATTGCCGTCATCATTCTCAAGACATGGCCGGTTTTTCTGAAGTAGTTGGTTTCCCAGTTCTTTCTTCTTAGGTGCCTCTGGATGGGCTTGAACCCCCAACCCTTTAGTGAGCAGCCAAGCATATCTGAGTCATACAGGGACTCCAGGGAAGCCCAGCACAGTAGAAGGGGCTGCCAGGGAGGCGGGAGGAAACCAGAAGAGGGTGTAGTCTTGGAGGAGAAAAAAAAAATCAAACACAAGTAACCGTTGCTGCTGAGAAATCACAATGAGTAGCCCAAACTTGAAGCCAGCGGCGATGTGCGTGATGCAACGGGGCTGATAATCTCAAGGTTGGTGGTTCAAACCCACCACCTGCTCCTCAGGAGAAAGATGAAGCTGCCAGTTCCCAGAAAGATATACAGCTTCGGGAACCCCATAGAGTCGCTATGAGTTGGAATCAACTGGGAGACAGTAGGTTTGGTTTGTGTTTTGTTCTTTTTCTGGGGCTGAGAGAGGAGGAGCCCTGGTAGCATGGTGGCTGAGCGGTGGGCTGCCAGATCAGCCGTTCGAGACCACCAGCCGCACTGTGGGAGAAAGACAGGGCTTTCTACTCCTAGAAAGAGTCTCAAAACTCATTGGGGCAGTTCTGCCCTGTCCTCTAGGGTCACTGTTGAGTTGGCGTCCACATGAGTTTTGAGGGAGGAAGCAGACCCCAATGGACGCTGGACACAAGAACGATCCTTCCAGTTCTCTGCATTCGGTATCATCCGCAGAAACGGTGACATGCGCACACACTTATGTGTGGTTGCGCAGCGGGTTAAGCTCTGGGTTGCTCAGGGAAAGATGGGTGGTTTTGAACCTACCAGCGGCCCAGAAAGGGAAGGCCTGTCAGTCAGCTTCTGTGAGGATTTCCGGTCTTTAAGCCCCAAGGAACTGCCCTCCCCCGTGCCAGGGGGTGACTATGGGCTTAAGCCCCAAGGAACTGCCCTCCCCCGTGCCAGGGGGTGACTATGGGCTGGAATTGAGTGGCTGGCAGTGAGTTTGGATCTGGGTTCTGCTCACTTGTCTTGCTGCTTGTACTTGTTAATGTCCAGCACTATCAGAGCCCCATGATATTCACCGTGCTAAGAGGAGAGCCCACGGGACACGCTGGGAACCGCTTCACATGCGTTCCATCCTCACACCAAACCAGACAGGACCTGTTACTGTCCTCATTTTACAGGCAGGGAAACTGAGGCACGCGCCACGCAAGGCCACACAGCAAACCAGTCGACAGAGCCAGTGGAAGAGGAGCTGGCAGATAGGGAATTCAGGCCCCTAACCTCATAACTTCTCCAGCTGGCCTTTGGCCTGCCGGTTCTGAACTCCACACACATAGATGTTGGAACTCTGGGAAGGAACCATGGAGAGTCAGCAAGAGCAGGCTCAGCCCTTGGGAGAAGCATGTATGTGGCCTGTCAATGTGTCCCTACTCTGGGATGTACACCCTTCTGGAAACTGCAGGTGCTGGCCTGGGCCTCACTGAGCATGCTGACGCTGGGATTTGTGACATTTTCAGGTTTCACAACTATTGTCCACCACTCCCCAGGTGGCCCCATCCCCATCATCACGGGGAAAGCTCCAGGCTTCCTCGATGGCAGGTGTGGCCACTGCTGCATGTAGCCTAATCTGGAAGGTGAAAACCAGGTCCCGAGTAGGCATTTACCTTCAAGATGTGTGTATGCGTGTGGGAGTGAATGGGGGTGGGTGGGGTTGTTTCCTGCTCCCCAGCGGCTCCGACTCCAGGCACCGGAAGTCCCCCACAGGGTCAGGCCGGAGGTGGGGGTCGACTGAGCCACTTCCCGCGGAAGGAAGGGCCTGGTGGTTCCTGCGACAGGATACATTGCGTTGCCCTCTCCCCGGCCGCCCGCAGGGACTTCCCGGGCCTGGCCAAGCTAGCAGTGGGGTTTCGCTGCCGCCGCCACCGCCGCGGATGCAGAGCTACACAAGGAGTGTGGGGCCCCTTGCTCCTCACGTCTCATTTGGGGAGTTCGTCCGGAAACGCCTTGGGTGGCGCTAAAGTTTCCCACGTTACACCCACTGCTAAGGAGACCGTGGGGCGAGTTGGGCCAGATTCCCCTTGTGTGGACTCCTCCGGGGCCTTGTGGAGCTCGCAGGGGGGAGGGGGGGATGGACTGCAGGAGGGGCGTCTGCGGCTCGAGAGGCCCAGAGGGGCGTTCAGAGACGGCCCCCTCCCCCCTCCCCTACTCTCCGGCCTCGGGGTCAGGTCTTCCCGGTCCCTAGAGTGCGGCCAACGTTCCACTCTCTGGAGGCGGGGCGGCCTTTCCCGGAGGCGAGGCCCCCACTCAGCACCTGCGGCCCCTTTGTCCTCCAGACGGATCCCCTCCCTCTGTCTTGGCACTGCGCCTATACACCTTCTAAGGCAGAACTGGGAGGGAATTTGGGATTTTTCTCTTGGGGTGGTTAACCTGGTCTGGGACAGGGGTTAAGAAATCCTCTAGCCACCCCCCTTTAGAAAAAAACACCCGACAAAGCCAAAACACTGCCACTGAGTGGATTCTGACTGCAGGCGGTCCTATTAGGACCTGTGTAGTCCTAGTCCAGCCAGGAAGCTGTTTAAAGAGCTCAGACTAAGGGCTCCTCTCCCAGCAGTGTGTACCTGCTCCTGAAGGTATGTGGCTATGCCTGAGCTGTGTGTGGCTCAGGCAGGGGCGTGACACACCGAGCCCGTTTCCTCTTCTGCTCTGGTCTCATGGCAGGTCTTGGCTGTCCTGTGGGCGGCTGCCCCAGTAGATCTACCACTCACCGAGCAGTGTTCCCCCCAAAAGCGGTTTGGGTTACAGTACCCGACAGAAATCAAGTGTTTACTTCTGAAAGCACGCTTTCTTACACCCCGGAGTTGGAGGGGAAGGTTGAGGGAGACCCTAGGAGTGGAGGGCCAGGCAAATTCCGGAGCCTAGAAACCTCCCGCCCACCTCTGCCCACGTGGTGGTAACCGGTCCGACCGGCTCCTGGGGCTCCAGCGCCGCTTTCCCCCTCCCCCACCGGGGAAGAAAGCCAGACAGGCGGCAAGCAGGCTTTATTCAAACGGTCTTTATTTACCAATCTGACATTTGTAACAAAACGCCGGATAAATGGCGTTAAGAGAATCCACCACGGCAAAGGCCTTAGCGAAGACTCCCGCCTCCTCAAACTAGGGCCGGTCGCACCAGCAAGTGGAGGTCCCAGCTCACATGCTGTGCCGCCCACCCCACCGCCGCGATTCAGATCGGGCGGGACGAGGTGGGCTGTGGATCTGAGAGCGCGACCCCTAACCTCTAAGGCCCCAGATGCTCAATTTTCACCGGGTTGGGATCAGTCCCACCCCAACCCGAGGCCACCAACCTAAGGCGCTGGGTCGAGGTGACTCAGGCCGCCTTCCTCCCACTCCCTGGGCAGGCCCACACCCACGCCAGGCAACAGGAAGCGACCCACGTCGGCCCCATGACGCAACGATGACCGCGTGCCCAAGTATGTCAGGGAGGGGGAAGGGAAGCGGCTGGAAGTCTAAGGCTGAAACGTAAAGACCCGCTACTGGGGATTCTTGAATGGGCAGCACAGTTCCGGTGAAAAAACAAACAAAAACCATCACACATTACACGTCCGACCCTGAGGAATGAAATACGCCTGCCCTTCTACCAGAGGGAGAAGGGGCCATGTCCCAGCACCTGTGGGCGCGGCAGGTCTCAGCGGAAGGCGCCCGCGCCCCCGGCTTCTCGGCGCCGCCGCCGGGCACAGCTGGCAACGGCTCCCCGGGGGCAGAGTCCCTCTCCGGGCCTATCGGCAGCCCTTGGCGGCGGCTCTTCTGGGCTGCGGTTCCGCGGGCACTCCCCGGGGGAAGCTTCGCCTCGGTCTGCGCACTCGGGCCGACTGCTCGGCCTGCGCTGTGTCCTCAGAAGGCCACCACGGCTCGCACCAGCACGTTCAGCATGTTGTCCGCCGGGCGACAGGCTGGCTTCGCCTCGCAGGCCGGAGGCGCCGTCGGGGGCGCGGCGGGGTTGCAGTTCAGGAGACCGGAGAAGCGCCTCTGCAGGACGCGCGCCAGATTGGGGAAAGCGCCCTCCGCTTGAGCCGGAGGAGGCTGTAAGCGCTCGGGGATCTCCGACGGCGCCTCTTCCGCTTCTTCTAGCCGGGCTTTCTTGCTCGGAACCAGTCCGGCGTCCCCGCTGCCGTTCAGACTGCTGCTCCGCCGCTTGCGGCTGGCTTTGGCGGGGCGCGGGCTGCAGCGGGCAAAGGTCTCCTGGGCTCTCGGCGCCTCTTGGGTGTCCATGGGCTCCGGGGAGGGAGGCTCACCGTCGGGGGGCGCTACCTGGGCTGTAGGTTCCGCTTCCCGCGGCGGGTGCAGGCGAGGGTCAGGAGAGTGGCCGGCCGGCAGGGGCATCTCGAGCTCGGGTGCCTCCACCTTGGCCGAGAGGTAGAGCTCCCGGGCGCTGCGCATGACCAACGACAGCTGCAGGCTTCGGTGTAGCCGCAGGCCACCGCGCTGCATGCGCGAGTGGTACATCTTCCACACCGACAGGGTCATGATGCGCTGTGCCTCCTTCTGCACTTCCATTGTGGCTCGACGGTGGGGTGGGGTGAAGGCGGAGGGAACTGCGGGGCTGGACTGGTCGCGTTGGAGGTACACTCCGGTCGGGAAGCTAGTTCTGGTCTTCCTACATACAGGCACAGACCCCGTGACACAGCAAAGACGCTCTGCCCCGGCGCCCGCCACCCGGGCCCTTTTATACCCTCCATGACGTCACGGAGACGCCCCGCCCAATCAGAGGGCCGCATCCGGGCTTTCCACCGCACCGCGACGCCGGAGACTCCTTAAAGCGACAGGACAGGGTTTACGGAAAGGGGAGAGGGGCGGAGGGGCAAGGTGCCTGAGACCGGAAAGAGCAACTCTCGGGGTGATTTTTTTCTCAGGGCCGCGCCAATGCAGCGCCGCTGGCATTGGTCCAGGGAAAGGGTGACCGCGAGTGGGCCTCAGCAGGTCGTAGGCAGAGTTTCCTTTCGCACCCGGGAAGATCTAGGCTCCAGCCGGGGCATTTCCCGTGGAGATAACACTCCCCACCCCCCACCTCAACTTCCAGTTGGTGTTGGCTTGTTCGAAAATAACAATACAAACCTAACGTTCGTTTATAGTTGTACCTACTTCTTCAGAAGGGTAAACAGGCGGGCTATTTATTAAACGAATAAACGGTTCAGTGGTGAGAAGGGGTCCCCAGGGGTCTCATCTCTTCGGGCTCCAGCATCCATCCACGCCATGCCCTAGTTCGTAGGCTAGGAGGCGGCGCTGGCTCGGCTCCGGGGCATCCGCAGACGCGAGCTCAGCCCAAGCTGCCAGTCGACTGCGCTCACCCCGCAGCTTCCCCGCAACACAAGCCCCAAGGGTGGGCTTGGCGTGCGCTAGGTGGCGGACCCGACCGCTGAGAGTACCCATGCGCACGTGGCCTCCGCCTCGTGGGAGGCG